GAACCTTAGTGCAAAAAAATATGGAATTTGAGATCAGAGGCCATGGGAAACCACATTGTGCTGCTGGTTTTTAGCTGCATTTCCTGGTAGTTTCTCCTTGTCTTTAAAATACAGATAATGATACATACCCAAAGAGGTGTATTGTAAGAAATATATGTCACCCACACACCTGAAAAACATTTTTGTAAATTTATAAATTTTTAAGTATTTTTTTTAAAGATCACATGGAAATAAATACTCCACATTTTCAAAGTTAATTTGAGGACAAAAATACAAGGGCATCATTTAATATAACAAAATAAATATACATGTACCTTTACAACCAACTTAGCTTTGGCCTCAACTGCACAGATCTCAAGGCTGAATATTCTACAAAGAACCTGTCAATCAGCAATGGGAAGCATGTCACATTTCCCTCCATTCCCCACCTAGGAAGGAGTCAGAAAATTCAAACTTCTTTCCAACTAACCAAAATAATTGTTCTGTGATAAGGAATTCTTTTTCTGAAGAAGCAATAAGTAGAGCAGCTCCTCAACAATGCTACAAAACACACACACACACACACACACACACACACACAGAGAGAGAGAGAAAGCATGAATACATGTCCAATCTTTCCTTCTCTTTAATGGAAAAGAGATGCCCAAAGAAGAGAGAGAGCTATTTCCTACAAGATCTCCTGTTTGAATCTTTGCATTTTTGGAAACATCCTTTCCCAAAGCCACTTTCCACTCTCTAGGGCAAACAGCATGTGGTTATTATCTGCAACCTGATGTTCAAGTGATTTATATTGGGAAGAGGGCCTTGCCTCAGTATTGAAGACATCTAAATTTCTCTGGTGATCCAATTGCCAATGCATGTTGGTTTTGGCAGGACAGACATATGGAAAAGTGTTCTCATGTTCTTTGGCTCTTACCCTTTGCATGTCAGATGAAACAGCAATGCAGAACTAAGACTGTTCTAGACCAAAGAAGACTCTGAATGTAGCTGAGCTTTTTAGAGTCAGAGCCATGGTGAGAGGGGAGTTCTTCTGCAAGGCTGGAGATGTGCATTGTAGATTCTACTGTTTTTCAGTAGGACAAGTTACTCAGCTCCCTGAGTCTCAGTCAATCAACCTATGAATAGAAGAATTTAGCCAAGATTAAAATTTGATGATCATTATTTAAATAGAGCATCTCAAATTAATATCTTCAACACCTTTCAATCTTTATATCAAGAAAGGGTTTTACTGAAAAACTATCTTCTATTGTCTGAACCAGGATTGGAAAGTGAAGTTACTTAAAGTGAGGAGCCATCTTGATCATTTAGTTATCCATTAAATATGAGTCTCTAAACGTCCAACGAAGTTGGGTGAACTAAAACATTATTTTTATTTACATACCTCGTTTCCTCTCTATTTCTCTCATCCACTTATAGAATGAGGAATTATTTTTCCAATTATTTTTTGCTTTGGGAAAGCAAAAGGGAATTCAATAATAACAGTCTGCTTAATTTAAAAGGGAAAGTATTGAAATAATTTTTGTTTACATTGGTAGAGTGATATCATATCTACTAACCAAAATTTAAAAACAAAGTAGAAAAAAAAGGAAATTGCTAAAGATTTTAGCACTCATCATCAACTATGATATAGTAATTCCCTTCAGGCACCATCTAGGCATAATTTTTTTAGAAGGGAAAGATTCAAGATGATGGAATGGGAAAAGTTTGCATTTCCGGTTGCTCAGGAGCTTGGGATTTGAGTAGCAAGTGCACTTATCTCAGCAAGAATGGTTAAAGATGGAATTCACTGAAATTCAATATCAGACAGCCAAAGGCTCTTAGAGACCCAGAAAACTGGGTGCTTTAAGCAAAGGACAAGAAAGAGTACACTGGAGGCAAGCCGGTGGCAGTGGCAGCAGTGATGCCAGTTCACACAAACACAGAGAAACACAACAGACAAATGTGGCATAGAAAACAGTCAGAATTTAGGTGAACCAGAGACTGCACAGCGAGCTGGTGCCTGAAAGTGCTCTGTATACTCAACTGGCAAGTAGAGAACTGAGGCAGGAGCCATCTCAAGGAGGCCATGCTGCAGCTGGCTGCTGCAGGAGCCTGGATGATCATAGCAAATACTGCCATAAAGAACCTACCCTGTGGTACCTACTGTGTGGCCTAGGATGTACCTAGAAGAATATGAGTGAAACCAGGCACAGAGAAGATTATACACTGAGGGATTCAAAAGTCAGCAATAGGGAGGGGAATGCAACTTGCTTTGCCTTTAAGTCTGGTGACTGACATCACTATTGAAAAGGGTTGGAAAACTGAAAAGGTGGACATGATTACATTTGGAGACTGAGCCTGGGAAGGCCACATTCATGGGTGATGGAGTATGTGATACCTAGGTAGTGTTGTCCTGTGAACAGAAATCTCAGGAGATTCCTGAGATCCAGACACCCAGCAGAGATCAGAAACTGCCTGGCCATAGGGGGGTGCTGATCTCATTTCTCCAGTACATAAAAATTCACGACAACCTGTTATAATAGAACACTTTGCCAGAGAAGGTTGTGCTCTAAAAAGGTCCACTGCAAGAGTGGAAGAGAAATCCACTCCAACCAATGCACAAAACCCAACACAGAAATACAATAAATATAAAAAACACAAGGTAACATGACAACCCCTAAAGTTTATAACTTACCACTGACTGACCCTAAATATATTGAAACAAATGAAATACCAGATAAGGAATTCAAAAGAATGATTATCAACATGATTAATGGATTCCAAGAGAACACAAAAAAACTGAATAAATTAAGAAAGTTAGTATAGTATATGAATGAGAAATTCAATAAGGAGAGAGATATTAAAAAAGAACCAACATAAACCTTGAAAATGAAAAGCACAATAAATCAAATACAGTGTTCAATTGAAAGTCTCTCTAATAGATTAAACCATGCAGATGACAGAATCTCAGAGTTGGAAGACAAAGTAGTCAGCCTTGAACATTTAGACAGTATTAAACGAAAGAAAGTATCTATGACTGTAATATACATGTACTCTTGGATATCATTAAGAGCTCAAATTTAAGAATCTTTTGTATCAAAGAGAGTTGTGAGATACAGGTCAATGTCATGGTTAACCTCTTCAGGGAAAGAAAAACAGAAAATATTTCAAACGTTCACGATGAACTGGACATCCTGGTACAGGAGGCATTCAAAACCCCAAATAGACAAGATTAAAAAAGAACTTCTTCATGATACATCATAATTAAAATTTCTAACATACAGAACAAAGATAGAATTTTAAAAGTCTCAGGAGAAAAAATCAGGTCATGTTTAGAGGCAAGTCAATCCAAATTGATTATGATTTCTCAGCAAATACTTTAAAATCCAGGAGGGCTTGGAATTGTGTGTTCCAAATCCTAAAATAAAGTAATTGTCAACCAACATTGCTACACCCAGAAAAGTTATCCTTCAGAATTGAAGAATGTTGAATAAAAACCACCCAAGAGAAGCAGAAACTAAAATAATTCAATACAACTAAGCCATCACTACATAAATACTTAATGAAATACTACACACACAAAAGAACTCAAAAAAAAAAACCTCCAAATGAGGTTTGTCCAAACTCACAAATGGACAAACCTCATTTGAAGACTAGATAAACAAAAGAAAAATGGGACCAACATAATATTGTAAATAAAACAAAATGGCTGGAGTTGATAAATATCTCTCTATAACACCTATTATAAACTATCTCAACTACCCAATTAAAATATTTAAACTAGCACAATGGATTAAAAATTGCGACCCCAATACATATGTTGTTTGCAAGGGACTTGCCTTACAGGCAAAGAGAGTCACAGACTGAAAATGAAAGGGCAGAAATTAATACACTGTGCAAATGGAGCCTTAAAATAAGCAGGAATAGCTACGTTCACACATACAACATAGTCAACTTTAAGCCAAAATTAATCAGAAGAGACAAAGAAGGTCACTTTATACTGGCAAAGGGAATAATCCTTTATGAAAACATACTTAAATAAACTGGAAAATGTAGAAGAAATTGATACAAAGAAAATATTATGAATCAAAGGGACTTAACAGATGTCTATAGATGTCTATAGAGTAGTTCTTACAACAGCCAAATTCACTTTCTTCTCAAATGCTCATGGAACTTTCTTCCAAATAGGTCAAATTCATGCCACAAAACAACTATTAGCAAATATTTTAAAAATCAGTAAAATTCTTTGCATCTTATCAGTTCATAATGAAATGAAATTAGAAATCAACACCAAAAAACTCTATTTAATATATATAAACATGGGAATATTGAACAATATCCTTCTGAATGATGGATGAATAGTAGAAGAAATTAAGGGAGAAATTAAAAATTCTTGGAATCAAATGAGAATAATGATACAATATATCAGAACCTCTGGGATATTATGAAGATTGTTCTCAGAGTTTATAACTATTAGTACTGACATAAGAAAATCAGAAAGTTCCCACATAAATAGTCTCATTATGTCTCCCAAAACCCTAGAAAAACAAGAATAAACCAATTTCAAAGCCAGTAGAAGGAAATTTTTAAGATCAGAACCAAAATCAATAAAATAGGAGAATGAAAAAAAAACAATAAAAAGAACTAGTTGGTTCTTTGAAAAAATAACAAGATTGATAAAGCCTTACCCAAATGAACCAAAAGAAAAGAAGAAAAAAATCTGAAACTCATGAAGTTAGAAATGTAAAAGGAGAAATCACCACAGACTTTACAGAAATTCAGAGGAGCATTATGAAACATACTTAAATAAATTGGGCAATACAGAATAAATTGATATATTTGTAGACACATACAACCTGCCAAAATTGAACTAAGAGAATACAGAAAATCTGAGCAGACCAAAAAATGAGCAATGAGAAGAAACAGTAATAAAAAGCCTTTTAACAAAGAAAAGCCCAGAACCAAATGGATTATCAGCTGAATTCTATCCAGCCTTTAAAGAAGAACTAATGTCAGAGGCTGGGGATATACCTCAGTTGGTAGAGGGCTCGCCTTGCATGCGAGAATTCCTGGGTTCAATCCCCAGCACTTCCAGAAGAAGAAGAAGAAGGAATAGGAGGAGGAGGAGGAGGAGAACTAATGTCAATGCTCTTCAAAATATTCTATGGAATAGAAAGGAGTGAAGCACTTTCAAATTCATTCTATGAAGTCAACATCTTCCTGATACCAAAATCTAGGAAATAAAATTACAGAGCAGTATCTCTGATGACAAGGATGTCCACTCTCATCACTTCTGTTCAATATAGTACTAGAAATTCTAGCCAGAGCAATTAGGCAAGAGATGGAAATGAAAAAGATAAAATAGGAAGGGAAGAAGACAAATTTTACTTTTATGCTTCAAACATCCAAAAGGCTCCACCAGAAGACTATGAGAGCTCATAGACAAATTCCAAATTCATCAAAGTAGCATAATGAAAAAATCACATACAAAAATCGATAACTTTCTATACATCAATAATGAATCTGCTGAGAAAGAAAACAGTGAGATAATTCTACTCATAATAGCCAAAAACTAAACAAAGAAACAAAACCCTAGGAATAAATCTAACCAAAGAGTTGAAAGTTCTCTACAATGAAAACTACAGAACATAGAAAAAGGAAATTTAGGAAGACACCAGAAGATGGAAAGACTTTCCTTGTTTATAAATAGGCAGAATTAAAATTGTTAAAATGGCCATGTTATCAAAAGCAACATACAGATTCAAAGAAATCCCTATCAAAATACAAATGGCATGCTTCACAGAACTAGAAAGAACTTTACTAAAATTCATTTGGAAAAACAAAAGCCCCCAGAATAGCCAAAGCATTTCTAGGCCAAAAAAAAAAAAAAAAGCAATGTGTTGTTGGCATCATGATATTTGATTGCCAATTATACTAAAGAGCTGTAGTAATAAAAACTGTATGATACTGGCATAAAAACGATCACATACACTAATGGAATGGCAGAGAAAACAGTAACCACACCACATAGATACAGTCATTTGATCCTTGACAAACGTACCAAAAGCATGTTGGAGAAAAGATAGCCTTTTAATCAAATGTACTGTGGAACCTGGTTGTCCATATGTAGAAGAATGACGCTAGATCCTTATCTCACACACTGCCCAAAAGTCAATTCAAAATGGATCAAAGACCTAGGAATTAGAAATTTTGCAACTCCTAGAAGAAAATGTATCAATTCTCTAACACGTAGGTGCAGACAACAATTTGCTCAGTAGAACTAGTAAAGCCCAAAAAGGAAATGATACAAAGACTTAATAAATGAGATGACATCAAATTAAAAAGCTTCTGTACAGAAAAGGAAACAAGTATGTGAAGAGAAAGTCTGTGGACTGGGAGAAAATCTTTGCTAGCTACTCTCTAGCAGAGAATTAATATCCAGAATATAAAAAGAACTCAAAAAACTTGAAAGAAAGAAAGAGAGAGAGCGCGAGAGAGAGAGAGAGAGAAGAAAAGAATGAATAAATGGGCAAATGAACTAAACAGTTCTTGAAAGAAGAAATACAAATAGCCAGCAAATATGTGAAAAAAATATTTAATTACAGAAATGAAAATCAAAAGTACACTGAGATTTCATGTCATACCTTTTAAAATGGCAGTCAATAAGAATACAAACAGTAATAAATGCTGAAGAAGGTGTGAAGAAAAAGGAACACTTTTACATTCTTGTAAATTAGTACAGACACTATGGAAATAGTATGGAGGTTCCTCAAAAGACTAGCTATGGAACCACCATATGACCCAGCTATACCACATATTTAACCTAAGGAATTAGAGTCATCACCTAGAGTTGTCATGGCAGTAGGGACTTGGAAGACTGATGTCATCTGCTATCAGTCAAAAGTCAAGACATGGACCTGGGCTGGGGAAACTTTTCTAGGATCCCCAATAAAACTGGAGTTCAGGAGAGTCACACTCCCCCTCTTCTTTCTGAGAGGACCCACTCTCTCCCTTGAGAATGTCCCCTTTCCCTCTTCCCATCCCTTTGTTAACTCTGCCTGTTACTCCTAGTGACGTGTCTGAAATCTTTCTGACTTGATCACAAGAATCAGGGTTTGAAAGGAGGGGAGGTCTTTACACTGACTCAGTTTTCTGGAAATCCCTATCACTGTAACAGTAGTATAACCAAAATAGTAAAATAAATATATTTAAATTTTTTTAAAAAAGTAGTAAAGTCATCATACTATAGACATACACGTCTACCCATGTTTTCAGCAACAAAATTCACAATAGCCATATTATGAAACCAGCCCAGATACCCAACAACAGATGACTAGATAAAGAAAATGTGGTCTATATACACACAGAATTTAATTCAGCCATAATA